TGGAGAAAACCGCGTTGAGGTCAACAGATGACGTGGAGACGAGGCATGAAGAAATGCACGGCACCATCAGATAGAGCAGGTGTTTTTCGCCGTCGAGGTTGGGGTCCGAAAGTTTCCAGTTCAGTTAAGTTCTTACAACCACTAACCATGCACTTTCGTGCACCGGTTCGGGTTGCTGTATTTTGGTTGCCCATCTGAATAAAACAGCGGAATGATGGTTAGAATATTGAGAGCAGATTCAAGCATAAGATAGCACATTTTCCTGGACTGAAGTTACAAGATTAATGAATAAGTGCATGAGCGCCACTGTTTACCACACGCAGCCACATCGTTCAATACCTCTAACCACCGGTGACCATTATCTCTGGGTCCCCAACCAGGGTGCCTAACGGAACCTATGTGAGCCAGTCTTCTGGTCGGGGTTTTCATACCCTCATGCCAGGTCTTAGCGTGACCGCTCTTCATTTTTTTCCAACCACTACCTGCCTCGCCAAGCATCGCTCACCGTGGCAACCTATCTGGTGTCATGCGTAGCACATATCCCAACCAGCGTAATCTATGGCGGTCGACTACCCATTCCATTTGACGATGGCGATTACCTAAATCTCTACGCCTAACTTCAGCATTGCTCATTCGGTTTCAGAACGACTCCGGAACTGGTTGGTACAGACATTAAGGGATATGGCAGCGAACCGACAGCAGTGGCGTTCTTGTCGTTTCTTATCAGGTCAAAATGCTCGAAGCGGTATGCATGCAGAGTTCGATTGCGTACTCTTTCTGTTAACCATAGAGGTTCACCTTCTTCCATCCTGTGTAGTCCGTGGGGTCATAGAGGTGCACAAGCCATCACACCACGTCAAAATTCAGTCTCGTCGTGCTGGTGGAGAATCTGTAATCATATCAAATTCAGATTAGGAGACTTCACTGCGTACCGCACCTGTCCTTATTTAGATTAACCGCTTCGGGTTGGAGAAAATAACATGAATATGAACAGATGATGTGGAAATAAGGCCTGTAGAATTGTACTGAGCGATCGGAAAGAGCAAGTACCTCCCGTATTCCACTCTGGGATCCCATAGGCTCTATCGTAACTGGTTGATTGAAGACACTGAATTATATGGCAACAAACCGACAGCAGTGGCATTCTTGTCACTTTTCATCAGGCCATGGAAGCTTAAAAAAGTGCATACACAGTTCAATTTCGTACTCCGTGTTGATCATAGAGGTTCACTTCTACCCCCACCCCCCTCTCCTTCAAAATAGATTCAATCCTTTTCCACGTTATACATTACACCCATCGTTATGAACTTGGAAGTGATCTTCGAAGCTCGAGTGAGATCCGTTCCATCCATGGGTCTCGTGTGATTATCCTTGAAGTTCCTTTCACTTTATTTCTCTGTGTGATGATTGTGCTTTAATTTACTTGCGATGTGTTTTATTCCTCCACGGTGATTGAATGAAGAAGCAATGATAGAACCCGCATTTCGAAACTTGTTTTGCAATCGTTGCGTAATATTGTACCTTGAGAATCGTTGTCTACGGCTTCAGTATTGTTGATTACCGGCGTAGGCAGAACCTGACTCATGACGGAGCTTAATCTGTATTCATCCATGTTGATCAGTGAAAGCAGCGGTAGCTGATGACCATGTGATCGATTCGTGTCCATTGTTGAAATGGGTGAGGTTTTTTCTATGTAATGCGGTACTGTTCACTTCGGTTATTAGGGCAATTATCTCTAGTTCGATATTAAAGCGATTGAAGTGTTTCTAGTTCATAACTGTAACTTAGTTTGGGAAACATCCCTTCTCTTTGATTCATTTGAATGAATCAAGTAACACAATATGAGCTCATATTTTTTCATTCACATGGTTTATTTATTGAAACTTCCGAATTTCCTTTTTCGTTGTGCACTTGTCCATCAGATTCGTTGCTGGTTATCTGACGCCCCTTGTTAGAATTCCCTCATAATCCCTGGGGTTGATTCAATCCGGTGAGGTACTTAGTTCTGTCAACGCCAGCATGTTTCCTAATTCCGGTTATCGTGGTCATCGTCCTAACGTGAATCACTCAGGATATACACATTTACCTCCTGATGGACTTTTGCGGCAGAATCCGTATCCTGACCACGTTTACAATGGCACGTTTGGTTCACAAATGCCCGAGTTACATTGGCATCCAGAAGTGTTTCAATGGGATTTACCGTATCACCCTTCAAACTGGTCACCTCAAGTAGATGCTACACGTCCGCCGTATGGGCCTAATCAATCATATGGACAAAATTTAAATTTCGTCCCCCCACATCGTCCTCGATCACAACAGTTTGTGGGCCGCTATCCGTCTCATGGTCAGCGTGCACCATTTTCGAGGCAAAGGGCCCCTTTTCACTCCAATCATCGGGGACATTTTGATCCCATCCATCCTTCCAGAGGAGCTTCTGGTTCTTTCTATCGCGCGCCGGTTTCCCAAACAAACACTGTTTCAACTTCTTCACGTCGTGCGAATGCTGGTGTTATGCCAAGATCCGGACGGGGTAGGCGATTTCGCGGTAACCCAGGTACTGCTACACCGACTACTCAATCTTCTGCAAGGAATAAAGCAGAGATCACTGAGTCACCTACGCGGTCCGATACACCGGATACAACTAGTACAGAGCATCAGTTCCACGATGCGGCTGTCGTACAGACCGCGGAAGAGGAACATTCTAATCTACGCGGTGAGTCCAAGTTTCCGTAAACTATTCTACAGTGAATTCTGAATTTTTATGTTTACTCAATTGTTTTTTAATAGTTATTACTACATACCACATTTTCGTACTCGTTCAGGAGTGTTATGAAGCCTGTTTCGAGGGAAAAAACCAGGGCTGAATGCTACGTGACAAATTTAGGCCCATTAGACAGACAACGGCAAACATTGGGCGGTGGTGGCGCAGTGGTTTAGTCGCTGTCACCGGCGTGCTTTGGACCCTGTGGTCCGAGATTCGAGCCCCGCCACCGCCACCCGACTTTGGTGGTAGGCGGCTCTGCTGTCGCCCGGTTCAATGCCACGCCTAGCCCATCGGGGCCTTATGTGGTTCGCCACTCCAAGTTCCGGGGCTTAGGTTACCGATTTCAACCACTGAACAGCAGGTCCTCGTGACTATGGGGTTAACCCCGTCTGCTGTTCATCACACCTAAGTGTGTAATAAAAAAAATTGAATGGTTGTGCTCGGGGGTTCTCACTTGGCTAACATTTTCCACAGTAAAACAGTACGCCTATTCCCATCATGATCGTACGATGAAGTGAGCTTCAACGATCACTTTCAAGTTCGTAATGTTTAGTGNAGTGTGTAACGTGGACAAGAATTGGGCCTTTTTTGAAGGAGAGGGGGTGGGGGTAAAAGTGAACCTCTATGATCAACACAGAGTACGAAATCGAACTATGCATACACTTTTTCAAGCTTCCCGACCTGATAAGAAGCGACAACGAGATCCCAGGGTGGAATACGGGAGGCACTTGCTCTTCCCGATCGCTCAGTACAATTCTTCAGGCCTCATTTCCACATCATCTGTTGATATTCATGTCAACCCGAGACAGCAACTGCGAATAAGGCACTGTGTGGTCAACGACAGCTGCACATGCGCAATACGTGCCCAGACCAGCAAAGCCTACTAATCTGTATTCGATGTGGACTTTTTCCCATAAATTGCCAATCACACGACACTCATCCTCTAGGTTTCTAATCCGCTCACTACCATCCGTTTTTTTATTACACACTTTCGTGTGATGAACAACAAACGGGGTGAACCCCATAGTCACGAGGACCTACTGTCCAGTGATGGAAACCGGTAACCTAAGCCCCGGGACTTGGAGTGGTGAACCACAAAAGGCCCCGATGGGTTAAGCAGTGATTATTAAATACCTCTAGTCCATGGTTGTCTTCTACTAGCAAATTCAACGTCACAACCTCAAAGCAGAACTGACCGAAACGTTGGAACAACATACGCGACTATTAAACTTTCGTGAAAAGTCACATCGACATCAAAGGTGTTTCTTGCACTCACTCAATCCAATTCGCACCAAACTACACCAATTTTGCTGCAGTCTTGAGCGCGCCTCTCTAGCCTTGAAAATGTGGGCTTACTCATCCATTTCATCGTTTGTCACGCCACTTTCTTAAGCAGTAAAAACAATCCACTTATGACTGGTTGTTGACCATCATACATCAGAGGCTGGGTAGATGACACTCCAGTGGATCGGATCGTTTTGCTTTTCGAAGGTGCAGAGCGTATGCTGAACAGAGTAACAGAGTTTGCCAGATTTTCAAGTGTGCGTTTTGTCCTCCATGCGTTCCTAGCAGACTGACGAGATCGTCAGCATAAGCACAGTTTTTCTCCAGTTGCTCATTCAATACTACCATTATCGATACCACTTTAAAGGATTCTCCAGTATTTCGTCTTCGACGGAGTTAAATAGGAATGGCGAAACAGGGTAGCCTCGACGAATACCGCCGGTGGTTTTGAACGATCCGCTTAGTTCTTCGTAGACCGTTACAAGAAGTATTCAAATACGTTGATGTAAACAGACTTTCATACTTCACGAAGCAGTGGACCCTTTCGGACTTCGCGGTTTACTGAATCGAAGGCTATTTTGATGCCGAGGAACACTGATTGTTAGTCTGTAGTATGTGGCATAACTCGTGGACTTGCCGCTGGGTGGAGATCTGGTTATTAAAGCCGCGTCAGGGTCAAATATTTTTTCTGTTCTCGAATATTCGTGTTCTTCAGGGGCGTTAGGTGGCGAACTGTGGCGGAGGTTTATCTTTTGATGACGGTTGGGATCAAGATCATCCCACGATGGTTTGCGCAGTTATAGCGATAGCTCTTATTACAAATTTGAGTGGTTAGTGGTTTCCCTCAGGGTAATAGGATACCCTCTTGCATCCAGGTGTTCTGAAGTAAGTCAGTAATCGAGTCTAGGAGGTCATCGACTCCCATATATTGCATAATTAGCGAAAGTTCGTCGGGTCTTACTGCCTTCTCTTTGTTCAGAGCTTGATTACGAGACTTAACTGCTGCTTCTGTGGAAGAATCACATGGAACTTCCCTCCGAGCTCCAACTGCAACATACGAGAGAATCCGGCTGGCACCAGCCTAGGTGAAATGCCCAATCAGAGACCAAGCCGTCGTTCCCCATTATATATGTATATATATCACACTGGTCTGAGGACAGGCTATGTGCCAACCAAGTCATGGTACAATAATGTCAATAAAAAGAAAAACGTTCAATGATTGGCTGGGCTGAATACTGCCAGGTTGCCTAGGCCAAGGTGAATTTTCTTGAGGAATCCACAACCGTAGCCTCCGGCTAGCCAAAGCCTGACCCGCTAATCAGCGGGGCGGTTTGTAAATCGTAATTCATTGGGATCCGTAGTCCACTTCATCGGATCTTACGACCTTCTGGCGGGGTCAAACGTCCAAGGTACCCAATACACCTTGATGCCCAATCGAGCCGGTGACCACTACCATAACCGGAAAGGTGTTGGTGTGGTTCGTACGCCTCTTCATGGTTGGTTTGTAATCAGGGTTTTTGGCCAACTCCCCTAGGTTAACTATCAGTTGTCCACCAACCCGGTTATGTCAGCTCTTCGTCCTCCACCTTTGGTGGGGAAACCTCCTCCACGAGAAGGCAGTGAGTAGGGTTTCCTCAGCAGAGGTCATTTGATACTCTTGGTCGTATGAGAGCATTTCTCCAGGTGCAAGAGAAAGGTGACCAGCCGCAATCCTAGACACCTACCCCGACCATGCTGAGGATTTCGGAGGCTCGTTCCCCATTACGGATAGCTTGTCCAGATTGTTTCACCAACGGGTTTACTAACCTTCCGTGCCCCGTGTCACTTGGAACATTTTTTGAATTTTCCTTGCTACAACGGCTACTTTCATTCCGGCATCTATTTCTGCCCACCAGTTCTCGAGGTTGTTCTTGAGCCTCTTTGTGAGCTCATAATGCACTACCGCTGCTTGGATCTTGGCCATTATCGTATTTTCACCATCTGGACTACTAACCCGCGAGGTGTTCGATGTTCCGTTCCGTTCAGTTTTTAAAACCTATTACCATGAACTTTCGTGCCCCGGTTTTGGTTGGTGTCTTTTGGCCGCCCATTGGTATAAAAGTACAGAATAAAGATTGGAATGTTGAGTAGAGTCAAAGGGAAGGTAGAGAATTTATATAGACTGGTGTTAACAGAATAATGAGTAAATGCATGAGCGCCACTGTTTGCGACACCCAGCCATATCGCCCAGTGTCTCTAACCATCAGTGTTTATGATCTCTGGGTCTCCATCCAGCGAGCCTAACGGGACCTATGTGACTTAGTGTCTTGGTTAAGGTTCTCATACCCTCATGCCAGGTCTTCGTTGGACCGCCCTTGACCATTTTCCAACCGCTCTATGCCTCGATAATCATTGATCGCCGTGGCAACCTATCTGGTGAGATGCATAACACATGTCCCAACCAACACGCAACGTGGCAATCTATTTAGTGACAGGCTAACACGCCCCAACCAAAGTAATCTATGAAGGTCGACCACTTGCGACAGTGGGCGACCGCGGTTACTTAAAACTCTGGCCCCGGTTTCTACCAGTGACCATAGTATTCTTCTTGTTAGACCTAAGGTATACTCTCGCATTTCTTATCAAGCATTCACACGTTCTGCTTAGATAAAG